GTGTTAAAACAACATGTGGTGTTAAAACAACATCTGGTGTTAAAACAACATCTGGTGTTAAAACAACATCTGGTGTAAAAACAACATCTGGTGTAAAAACAACATGTGGTGTTAAAACAACATGTGGTGTTAAAACAACATCTGGTGTTAAAACAACATCTGGTGTTAAAACAACATGTGGTGTTAAAACAACATGTGGTGTTAAAACAACATCTGGTGTTAAAACAACATGTGGTGTTAAAACAACATCTGGTGTTAAAACAACATGTGGTGTTAAAACAACATCTGGTGTAAAAACAATCATCAAGTCTTCTGCGACTCTCTCTCTCTCTCTGGTGATTCCTGAAGAAGGAGCAGCTGAAAGAAGAAGAAGAAGAATAAACTGTAGTTAATTCATTGAGCTACACATGTTTTTATCAAATCGAGTTGAAATGGTTGTGGTTTCTAAAATGGCGCAGCATCTTCTTCTAGTTGAACACCATCAGAGATTTCTTTAACCAGTTATAGGAGTTTAATTCCCAGAAGGAATGCCCATCACCTGCCGCCTGGAGTTTTTCACTCGTCTCACTTTAGACACACACCTTTTGGTTTAATCATGAAAAGAACATGTGTCATCTCATGACATATCTGACAGTGTTGGTGACTCTCGGCTACTAAACTTTAGCTCATTATCTGTAAGTCCGTAGGTTAAGGCGCAGTGACGGCCATGTTGAATTGGGTTGAGGCCTGTATTTTAGGTGAACCAGACATTACTTGTCAAACTGGATTCAGTGGTTCCTGAGAAATGACAGCTGATTGGAAAAGGTCCAAAGTTTTCCTGAGCATCAGTTTGTCATGACGGTGGCTCAGGCTCATGTTCTGCTCTGCTTCCAGTTCTCATGAGTTTGTTGGACATTTTTGTTATTTGCAAGCTTTGCCCAAACTGGCACCAGCTCCATCTGTAATGGAAGTTAGTTTGAGTGTGGCATGAATGATGTGGATGATTTTGAAAAGCGATATTTTTTATTGTATTCCAGGAAGTAATTTCTGTGTTGGCCTGTTTTCATGTTTGCGCTCAGCTGAGCCTTGTGCTCTGTGGGTAACACCAGGTTTGGAGACGCACTTTCTTTTTGAACATTTCAATAGTTGTGTGAGCATTGCAGCGTTATTTCTTTAAAGATGTGCATGTTTCACTCGAATAATGTTGAGTCACTTTTGCTGAGCTGCTGTCCAGAATGCAGAGTGAAGCAGTTGAAACAGAACAAATGACAGTGGGAACAGGAAAAGTGAGCGCTTCTGGTTTGACTTGTGCTGCAGAGCCACGCTTTATGTTAACGTCCTTTTTAAAGACATTTAAAGATTTGAAGTGTGCCTGCCGCTCGAGATGAGGGCTAAATGATAAGGGAACATGTTTTCATCTGGTGAAAGAGCTGACACTACAGATGTTCCACACTGTGGCTTTTGTTCTTGTTTTGTTCACTTCCTGTGTATCTCTGCACCACACGAGAAACAAACACTAAAAGTTCTTGGTCCTAGACCTGGATCATCCCAGCTGTTCTTCAGTAGAGTGTGAGAGACAGAACTCTCTGCAGAACGCAGCGTGTTGGGGACTGTTGCTCCTCTAGTTCCTGTTCTTCAGGTCCAGCTGGTTACTGTCGGCTCCCTCATTGCAACACATCGAGTCATGGCAGTATCGTGATGCAGGTTCAGTCCTGACAGCAAATATTTACTCTGTAATAGAAATGTGACGAGGCGGCGGTGACGGAGTGGTTAGAGCCGTTGTCCTTCAATGCAAGAGATGTGGGTTTGATTCCACCAGCTGTCACATGCCGAAGTGTCTTTGGGCAAGACACTGAACCCCTGATTGCCTCTGATGCGTGTCCCATCGGTGCATGAATGTGATGAAGCTCTGATTAATCTTTGTACAGATCTAGTATAGAGCTGTATGAATGAGGCTCAGATTGTTGTAAAGAGCCTTGAGTGTCTGGCTGACATAGAAAGGAGCTGTACAAGTTCAGCACATTTACTGTTGAATGAATCTACTGTGGTTACTCACAAAATAAAAGTAACAGTTTTATTAGTATTAGGTACATTTGCAAGGCACTGCACGGCATTTCAGCAGCTGATCAAATCATTTTAAAGCTTCTGGGAATTCAAAGTAATGACTCCAAAGTGACTCCTCATCTCAGGTTTAACCCTCAAATTGTCCTTTAACTTTATGAATAAAAGTCTTCCTGACCACTTTACATTACTGCTGAAGATGACTATTTAATAATGTTTTTTCACTATAATCTAGTCAGTCTTTACAGCTGTCACAGCTTGAAATAAAAATATAAAATTTCAATAGATTTAGATCTTTTTTCCACATGTGAAAATCTGATGATGTTTTAGGTCATATTTATGCAGAAATATAAAAAATTCTAAAGGCTTCACAAATTTCAAGCACCACTGTACAAACAAAAAACCATTTAAAACACTCTGTCCAGATGACACACCAAGTACCTTCCTACCCGTCTCTCTAATTACTGTTGCTGTAGTAGTCCAGTCATCTGGAAGCTCTTTCTTACCACCCAGAGCTTTAACCAGGGCTTCATTTGAATTGGATCTTGCTGGAACAGGATCTGGGAACTTACAGGTCCTTCTCAAAAAATTAGCATATTGTGATAAAGGTCATTATTTTCCATAATGTAATGATAAAAATGAAACTTTCATATATTTCAGATTCATTGCACACCAACTGAAATATTTCAGGTCTTTAATCGTTTTAATACTGATGATTATGGCATACAGCTCATGAAAACCCAAAATGCCTGTCCCAAAAAATTAGCATATTTCATCCCACCAATGAAAGACAAGTGTTTTTAATACAAAAAACACCAACCTTCAAATAATCATGTTCAGTTATGCACTCAATACTTGGTCAGGAATCCTTTTGCATGAATGACTGCTTCAATGCGGCGTGGCATGGAGGCAATCAGCCTGTGGCACTGCTGAGGTGTTATGGAGGCCCAGGATGCTTCGATAGCGGCCTTAAGCTCATCCAGAGTGTTGGGTCTTGTGTCTCTCAACTTTCTCTTCACAATATCCCACAGGTTCTCTATGGGGTTCAGGTCAGGAGAGTTGGCAGGCCAATTGAGCACAGTAATACCATGGTCAGTAAACCATTTACCAGTGGTTTTGGCACTGTGAGCAGGTGCCAGGTCGTGCTGAAAAATGAAATCTTCATCTCCATAAAGCTTTTCAGCAGATGGAAGCATGAAGTGCTCCAAAATCTCCTGATAGCTAGCTGCATTGACCCTGCCCTTGATAAAACACAGTGGACCAACACCAGCAGATGACATGACACCCCAGTGACTGTGGGTGCTTCACACTGGACTTCTGGCATTTTGGCATTTCCTTCTCCCCAGTCTTCCTCCAGACTCTGGCACCTTGATTTCTGAATGACATGCAAAATTTGCTTTCATCTGAAAAAAGTACTTTGGACCACTGAGCAACAGTCCAGTGCTGCTTCTCTGTAGCCCAGGTCAGGCGCTTCTGACGTTGTTTCTGGTTCAAAAGTGGCTTGACCTGGGGAATGCGGCACCTATAGCCCATTTCCTGCACACGCCTGTGCACGGTGGCTCTGGATGTTTCTACTCCAGACTCAGTCCACTGCTTCCACAGGTCCCCCAAGGTCTGGAATCGGCCCTTCTCCACAATCCTCCTCAGGGTCCGGTCACCTCTTCTCGTTGTGCAGCGTTTTCTGCCACACTTTTCCCTTCCCACAGACTTCCCACTGAGGTGCCTTGATACAGCACTCTGGGAACAGCCTGTTGGTTCAGCAATTTCTTTCTGTGTCTTACCCTCTTGCTTGAGGGTGTCAATGATGGCCTTCTGGACAGCAGTCAGGTCGGCAGTCTTACCCATGATTGCGGTTTTGAGTAATGAACAAGGCTGGGAGTTTTTAAAAGCCTCAGGAATCTTTTGCAGGTGTTTAGAGTTACGTCGTTGATTCAGATGGTTAGGTTAATAGCTTGTTTAGAGAACCTTTTCATGATATGCTAATTTTTTGAGACAGGCATTTTGGGTTTTCATGAGCTGTATGACATAATCATCAGTATTAAAACAAGTAAAGACCTGAAATATTTCAGTTGGTGTGCAATGAACCTGAAATATATGAAAGTTTCATTTTTATCATTACATTATGGAAAATAATGACCTTTATCACAATATGCTAATTTTTTGAGAAGGACCTGTATTTTGACAGGGTGCATTCTGGCAACCGTTTGCTTGGATCTGACAACTCTCAGTCTTACGAATAATAAAGTTATGAACAAATATGACTGCCTTGTCATTTGGGGAGCCATGCTTGAACCATGTCGCTCCCCTCTGCTGCTGAGACGATAAATAAAAAAACTCCAACACCTCTGCTGCTGTTTGTATGACGCTCTGGATGCTTGTCACCCACAGCACACATGCAACAAAGAGTAAACTCAAAGCAAGAGTGATACCTGCCCCGTCTTTCCTCTTTCGTACTGTTTTTACATTTTTTTTATTTACATGTGACAGTCAGCAGGCTGTTTTAAAAAGTGCTTAAAAACATATTCAGATTAGAAACAAAATAAATGAAAGCTGCAAGCAGCATTGGAGGCCCTTGCAGCAAAGCACCGCTCCGGCCATATGGCGACCGTGGGAGCTCCCGCTACTCCACCCAGTCGCCATTGCGAACGCGTTCATGCCAATCCCGCACGTGTTCACCACAGGGCACATTTCCCGAATCTTCGACATCGCCTTCTATCCATGTTAGTTACTTGTCCAGCTACAGGTCTTACAAGTACAGGCGAAATCCGACCTTCTAGACAGGAGTTATTGTGACTTCCTGTTTTGCGGAGAATGTTTGACAAGCACTTCCTTTAGGCTTTTCAACATGTCATGTGTGGTAATCAACAGTTAGTGAATACGGTTTCAGTATTATAGCTTACACAGGGAGAAACTGGAAGAGTCACCAAATAATACTTTGTTTATTCTTTGAGTGGGCGGAGCTTAAGTGATATCATGAAATAACTATACCAGTGTGTCTACAAGTGCCCATTGATCATGCACAAAACTGTGGTCCACATTGGGTGAGGTATCAGGGAGCTATAGCTGATTGAGTAATGTAGGGGGCGCCCTGGAGTCAAGTCTTCATTTAATCCTGTTGGCTTCTTTAGAGCTTAAGAAAAGTAATTTATATCCAGTTTGTAGAAAATCAGATAATGCATGTTTCATTTATAACCAACCATATGTCAATGGCACGGGATTCAGTGGGCGTGGCTTAAATGATGTTATGATTTGACCATTCGGTCTTGCAGGGGACAAGATGTGGATCAGTCACTGAAGGGTTTATGTCTCAGTTTTTCTGTAGGAGTTGTTAGTGTTTTGTTTGTCATGGCGAGATGTACAAATTTGAGGTCAGGCCCCGGCCCTTCAGCATACTCAAACTCACTGTTTTGGTAACTTTTCATTCTTCGTGCCTTATGAAGAAACATTCCAAGTTTGAAACCAATTGACCGAAATCCCTTGATGTAGTTTGTTCAAATGCGAAGGCTCTAAACTGAACACTACACAACACTAAAAGTGGTGTGAAATTTGGAACCTCAATACAAAATGGCCAACTTCCTGTGTATTGTACAGCATTGGTGCCAGAGGCTTTTCTGTACATCTTGTAGAGATGAACAAGTGTACCAAATTTCATGCTTGTACGACAAAGTAAGGTTGATGCGGAGGGCATTTTGAAAATGAAAAATGCCCAAAAACGAACCTTGGACCCAAAATGGCCGACTTCCTGTTGAGTTTGGAACAGGGCTCCAAGAGACTTTTTCATAGGTCCTGAGAAGATACAGATGTTCACAGAGTTTCAGAATTATCTGTGAAAAAATGGCTTGGGGCTTAAATTTTAAAATATTCTATGGGGGTCTGTGGAGGCTATTGAAGGGGTGGATGACGACCAATCATAGTGACTTTGGTACAACTCGGCTCAAATCTGTGCAATTTAGAGCCGAACGTATTGCAACGGCGTCACTTCTGAATTTGCCACGCTGCCACGCCCACATCCTCCAGCAAAAACGGTTTGTGCTTTAAATCAAGTCAGACCAACTTGTTATTCATTCAACCTTTATTTAGACAGGTAAATCCCATTGAGCCTGAGTTATATGTCATCTAACACAGGATCATCCTGATTAGGTCAAGGGTGTCAGGGGGAGCATTCCAAGCAAAAAAGTTCACCATGGGGCATTCAAAAAGCGTTCAATACAAAACAACTGGACTTTATTTGTAACAGAAGACGTTTCCGCTCCTCATCCGAGGAGCTTTCTCAATTCAAAGAGCAGTGAGTGAGAGATTCAGGTTATAAGGCTGAGTGAGATAAGACACACACACATATATTCATTCACCATGGGCTGCATTTCCCGAATCTTCGACATCGCCTTCCGTCCATGTCAGTACATGTCCAGCTGCAGGTCTTACAAGTATAAGCAAAATCTGACCTTCCAGACAGGACAGGACAGGACCTTCCTTTCTGTCTTATTTCAAGATACTCAAAGCGCTTCACACTACAATCTGTGCCTCATTTATCCATTCATACAGCTCTATACTAGATCTCTACAAAGATAATTGAACAAATCGTTCTAAAGAGACTAATCAGAGCTTTATCACATTCATTCACGGATGGGACACACATCAGAGGCAATGAAGGGTTCAGTGTCTTGCCCAGGGACACTTCGACATGTGACTGCTGGTGGATTCAAACCCCCAACTCTTGCATTGGAGGACGACTGCTCTAACCACTCAGCCACAGCCGCCCCTACTACACACACATTCATACATCACTCTACTACACACACATTCATACATACCTCTACTACACACACACACACACACACACACATTCATACAGAACTCTACCACACACACACATATTCATACTGAACTCTACCACACACACACAT